ATTGTTGTACCAACCGGCCTTAGTCCCTCGACCTCCTTGTCAGATAAAAGTCCTTCTTCGTGCAGCTCTTTGAGTAACTTTGTCACTTTGTCTTCAACGGCCTCGGTCCGGTCCTTTTCTTTATCGAATTTTGAAAATTTTGTGCGGTCCGATAATATTTCTTCTAGTTTAACCACATAATCTTTCTTGCCCATCAGCACAATTCCCGAACCCTTGTCCAGTCCTGCAAGCAATATATTTTCATTTCGACGAAACTCCTTGAGACTATCGAGATGGGCCTTGGTTAGAGGACCTATGGGTCTTGGAGCTTTCCTTAAGTATTGTTGACAGCAATTCACAAGAGTCGATTTGAGGTCCGTAGTTTGTCTAAAAAGATTCTCGGATTGTGTTTCGAGATCTAGTTGTTTTTGGTTCCGTTGTGCATTTCAAAACTTAGGACCAAGAGATAGTACTTCTGGGAGCGTTTTGTCAAGACGTAGTGACGAGTAGTTATGCACGTATCGCTCTAGATTGTTTGGAAGTACTGTCTGCGCTTTCAGTGGTTGGACACCTCGTAGAAGCTTTGCCCACTTGACCTCGGTTCTCCTATTTCTGACTGTTTGTACGTAGTTTTCAAAGGCTAGTCTCTCAGGATTTCCGAGGCGGTCGAGGACGGCAGTTTTCTGGCACAGGTTCCGCTGTAAGTCCTGAATTCCGTCTCTACCTGTGTCTAGAAGATTTTCCGCATATCTTCTTAGCGTGGCTGAAGTGGGGGTGATATTACTCTCGCGCAAGTTTTTCCAGTAGTGTTTCGGGTATTCCCCGCGACCAATACATCCTGATATGAATTCGGAACTAACGTTTGCCTCCGTAAGTCTGGTGTCAAACTTTAGGAAGTCATCGAGTCCCCTTAACACCCAGGGATCTTTGGGTCGTCTTAGCTCTGCAAAAATTCTCATTTTACAATAGAAAAGTCGTTTTGGCAAACAATTGTTTTCGGTCATCCATTCGGTCATTCAATGAATGACCGAAAACAATCGTTTGCCAATACGACTTTTCAATCGTAAAATGGGAATCTTCGCAGAATTATAGAAGTATACGTTAATTAGCCGTCAGTGATGTCAACGTTCATAGGGGCAATTATAGAGGATGTTGGCCAGTTAACCGTGATGGACGTCTGGGCGTGACTGTAGGGGATTGCGCAAGGCTCTGTGCGCCGACGCCACTTCGATACATCGCTTGATTTCATCCCCCCGTGGATCAGGCTTCAATCAATTCACTGCTCGTCTTTTTCTCCGGCGTGGGCGAGCAAATTGACGGCGGCAAAGTTGGCCTGTTTCATAGGTATGAGCCGCAACTTGTGACAATTCGTCTCCCCGTCGTAGGGCCAACCTGTGTTCATGTATGCGTGATCCAAGCATGCGTTCAGTTTGGCCTGTGTAGTTACAGGGACAGCTTAGGCATGGGATGCGATACACTACTCCAGATTGTTTATTGGGAGTAAGCCGGTCTGTACATAAATTCAGA